GCTTGCATACCGGCTTTCCCCTCGTCAAGCGGTGGGTAGATCGGCCGTTGGTTCTCGTTCGCAACGTTGTCAACACCTCCATGAGAAAGCCTGCCGTTCCGGTCATACGTCTTCTCCCTCCGTGGGTGTCGCCTGTTGGCTCTGAGTCACTTATTTCAGTCCGTTCTGAGCGGGTGTGAGCCTGTTGCGGGCCCTTGATATACTGCATTTAAATCGATGGCTCGATTTAGCGTGCTCATAGAGGACGAATTTTCGAGAACTGGCTTTGCCAATGACCCTCGCTTTTTCATATTCAAAGTTGTGGTTCAACTGTTGCACGTGAACATAGACCAAAGACAGCTTGTCCTTGCGATTTATTGCAAGTTGATATTCGTGCAATCTTGTGCTCACGCCTTTGCTCGTTTCACCAAAATAATTTGCATGACAATTTTTGCATGGTATGCTGTAGTCCACCACTAATTGCTCGGTTGCTGGCAGAGGGTCTTTTGGCGTCATGATTTGCTGTCTGATTGTGAAATCTGGTTTATGCAACACTCCGATCCCAAAAGGTTCGAGGCTTCGTGGAGTCGCCTGTAAGACTTTTTTCACGTAGGGAATGGCGAGCCAGAATTTTGGATTTTCTTCACTTGACCGAGAAACGCGAGGCTTCTTCTAGCACTTGCTGATGAAGGAATTCACATACCCGTTAGCCTTGAAAGGGACATGTAGGTAATTCATCTTCTCCCGCTTCACCATGTCGTCGCTACAGTGTTTAAACAAGTCTGAAGCCAGTTCTGACACAGCTGCGTTTGTGGCCAACAGGGCGGTTGTCTTGAAATTGAAGCCTGTGCCTTGTGTTGGTTGCCTTTCCGTTTGTCATTTTTGTGACTTTAGCGTCAAGGAAGGGCATCTGGTTGTTGACTTCTTCGTCCATTGTAAACTTAATTTCCGGAAAAATGGAGTCCAAGAGCACCTTTAAAGCTTGTACGTGGTACCTTGTGAGTATGACAAACCTGTCATTGACGTATCTGGCCCAGAACGCCAGGGGTAGTCTGAACCGAATACTAGATGCTCGAACCTCTGCGGAACTGCTTCGGTAATAAGTCCCTACAGAGTCAAGCCCATCGGCGTCCCCTTCGTTTGCTCGTACACCTTGCGGTTAAATGTGAAATAGGTCTTAATACACAGTTCAAGGAGCTCACTAATATGCACCTGTTTGAGCATTTTAGTCGGTCTCGTCTTACTGTTTCCCTGAGAAGACCGTTTATAGCGGCGATAGCCAATGCGAGTGGGAGAGAGGAACTAGCGAGATCACATTAAATGACATCATTACCTCATCAGCCTCAACTTCAACATTTTCAATGCGTGTTAGACATTCCTATGCTGTCTTAACTGTCCATCTTGAATCTTTGCTAAGGAAAAATAGTATCTGCTACCGTCACTTTGACAGCCAAAATGTTGGACTGCGAAATAAAATAGTTTTCGGTAGCGCAGTCTACTATATATGTTTAAAAATGACATCTTGAAGATCAGCGTAGCATCTTTCTTTTGCAGGCGCTGCATAGGAAATTCTAGCAAGAAATAGTGACAAGGAAGGATAAAGTAATCGTGCAACCAACCACGAAAAACACCACATTCCGTAGAAAAAAACATAACTTGACTGAATGCCGCCTACAACCACCAGTTGAGGACAACCCAGGACAAATTGTTTATCATTTTCCCTGTGAATCGGGAAGCGAATTTGGAAGCTCAGACATCAAACATGTTTGCGACAATCGGTGCATCAAACAACAGGAGGGAGATGAAAAGGACTGCCCTTACAGCAAGTTGGTGGGGTGAAGGTACATAGAAAATGAGCACCTTCTATGATGTTAAGGGTGGGGGATATGTTTGCCGACTGCACTTTCAGAGGAGAGCAATTAACTCCGGACTGAATTATATGCCAGGGGTTAGTACTGGACAATTAACTGGTTAAGAAGTGGGGTAATCCTGGAAACGTAACCGGTTAGAATCTGAGAATTGTTGTCGTAAGGCGCATGTCGTAAACCGCTTCTACCACAGCTACGTCAAATGCAAACAATTTGTTGGCATTCTCCCTCAATGATTTGTATATATACGTTAGCGTAATGTGCATAGATGCATATAAGCAGAGGGTTATTCCGCCAAATGAATAAGGCATTTTGGAAGTGTTCCGAAACTAGGGAGAATAAGGACGGCCTTTTTCTCATCAGTGCCGTCATGAGCAGCTTCAATCTGGGGCTAAATGCTGCCTTGCTTGTACTGCTCCTTCTTCTCAGAGGAAAACCCAAAATGTTTCTCTACCAGTTGCGCGTCATAGTGGCCTCTGCAGTTCTCTACAACTTCATCAGGACCTGGGACCGTGTCATACCCAAAAAACACCATCGCCCACCTCCAATTTTCGGTGCATTTATGTGTCATATGTGGGCAAGCCGTTATCTCTCTCTGGTCGCCTATACCCTTGCAGCCCTTAGCTTGAATTTCATGGTTGGAAATAGAGCAATTCAGATAGTCTTCAGATAACCAGTACTCCTTCTCCACATCTGTTGCTGCGAATCTCGCCTATCCATGTGGTTTCTGCTTAGTCAGCATCATCTCTATGATTCCTCAAACACTTATAATGCAATGGGATGGCACAAAATGTAACTGTCTTGACACAGACTTGTCCTACGCGATGCTTGTGTCTCTCTACACTGAAACCTTTGTTCGCTTTGGTCTGACTGCAGTCATCAGTGTCATCATCTTGGGCGTCTCCTGCTACAAAATCATCTACTGGGTGCACAACACACCACCTGAGCAGCTTTTGGACACCTGGAACGTTGTATATCTACCCGGTACTACAAAGGAGCAGCTACAGGCCTTTAGCCGACCGCAGGGTTGGCTGACAACATCCCTCTGCACTGTACCACTTTCAGTAAATTTCTTAGTAATCAGCATCTATGACACAGGGTATAAGTTCCTCTGCGCTGTGGGCTTGTGTACACTAAACCTGGACTCATCATTATATCGGATAGACCGCCTTATGACTGATATTTTACTGCTCCTTATGCCTATCATAATCACTGTCTACATCCCGGCACTGCGAGAATTGACTGTGCGTTTCTGGCAGGCCCTCACATCATTGGGCGTCAAACTACGAAAAGGAGAATGCATGGTGCGCGACCACGGGTAGCAGAACTCCTCAGTCCCTTAAAGTTCGCGTCTGGAAACATAGTTTCATCAGCGTATTGTTGTTTTCTCTGCCATAATGATAAATATGTGTCTTGTTGTTAACTTCACTCACTTACTCTTTGTTTAGGAACCCTCTTCGGTCATCCTCTTGAAACACAATTTATCACACAGACTAAAGAAAAAACAGACAATTATTCTTTCTTCATTTTTATTTGCTTATAAGTACGTATCACTTTTTCGGACACCCGACTTTACACCTTATAATGCAAGGACATACTGCACGTGAAGACATTCTGTAATGATACATGGAATAAATGCATCACTACGACTGGAATAAGGAGATTTCATTGTTCCATTTATACGGTTAACAGGATCGAAAATGAATGGAAAAAGTGCAGGTGAAACATGCCTGAGGCATCACATCAATCCACGGCGTCTGCCTAAAAGCGGAGCTGTCTGACGCCAGCATTGCAACAACAACATACTCGTTAAATTTTCCAGATTACTGACACAGTAATTCGTGCAAAATGCCAACATTTGCGAAAGAT